TCTCAGAAAGGTAGAAGTGGTTTCTAGGGGCAAAAAGGTTTGTTTTCTTCGGGATGGAAGTTTCGGTTTCCATGGGAAGGTTATTTTATCTACAAAATTTTCGGTTGTATATGATCAACGATTTTGTTCCATTAAGCATTAAGAGAATCTGGGTTGGAAGTATTTATTTAGTCTGGGCTTCTTATGGAATTGGTTGGATAGTGATTCTGAGTGGGTGGGCGGTTATTCGAGCGAGGTGACTTCCCTAGTCCTTTTTAGGGTTCAGGGGGGTTCAATCAGGATCGTCATTTTGGTAGGTAAGATAGTAAGGAATGATTTCGAGGATGCAATCTAATTTAAGTGGGGAGTCTTGTAACATCCGGAGTCTACAAGGCTAATTGCGGATATAAATCCCCTTTTTTAGGGACCAACATGGCAAGTTGGTGGTGGGAAAGTCGACTTGTTGGAGGCTTTTGGGACACCCATATTTATGAACCAACTCGGCGAGTTGGGTGCTGATTAAGAAACCCTAAATTTTAGGGTGTTATACCATATTTAAATACATTATGTTCCTTTAGATGGCCTCCTTATCAGCCTCCATTCTTAGCAAAACCTTAAATCGAGTTGTTGCCTCCATTATCAAGCATTTCAGCCTTGGGAGGAAGTTCGGTGTCCATTTGGTTTCTTTGTTATGGAGTTAGAAGACCTTGAAGTTTCTAAGCTTGGAGGAGAGGCCTTAGATCCAGAATCATTATCCTTTTTGCAAGGAGTTTGAGGTATCAAGTTCCTATCTTGATGGCTAGATGTTTAGATTTTTCTTTTTGGGTTGGATGGATGTTAGGATTAGTACGTCCCATGGCCTTGCTTAAAATTATATAATTTGTTTTGTCGCCTCAAGCAAAGCTAGAACTAGATCTTCATATAATTTTTTTAAAATCATAAATGCATCTTCTTGCTCTTGACCACAAACAAACTTCATCTCTTCTCTGGTTAAATGGGTAAGGCAACTACCAATAGAAGAGAAATCTTGGATAAAGCGACGGTAATATCCGCCAAGATGAAGAAAATTGCGCACTATCTCCGGACACTTCGGTGCTTTTCACTTCATGATCACTTCAATCATAACAAGCTCTACCAAAATTATGCCACGGGATACGATGTTCCCAAGAAACTGAACCTCCTGCAACCAAAATTCACACATCAAAAACATAACATACAACTTCACTGATAGATCGGTTATCGATTAAATGAGATTGTCGTTAATGAAATGATAACCGATATATCCATAAAGGATCTAAAAACTCTATTCACGAGATCTATAATTATTGTGCGGGCATTTGTAATATCAAATTGCATCACTAAAAGTTCATATTAACCATATCGGGTTCTAAACGTCATCTTTTGAACATCACTTTCTTTCACCCAAACTTGATGATATCCGAAACAGAGATCGATCTCTGAGTTATATTTTTCTCCTTGAAATTGATCAAATAGATCATCATTCATTGGCAATCAGTAGAAATTCTTTATTTTAATTTTATTGAGCTCCTGGTAATCAATACGCATTTTCATCGAACCGTCTTTCTTCTTCACAGAAAACACTAGAGCACCCCAAGGTGATCAACTCGAACGGATAAAACCTTTATCTAACATTAATTAAAGTTGAGACATCAACTCTTGTACTTTTGAAGGAGTGAATCTATATGGAAATTTGGTAGTTGTAGGCCATGTTTATCGCTAAAATCATCTATGAATAAATAAAAGTAAATTATTGATGTATTTATGTGAAATTTTATAGATATTAGGTGTATATACTAATTGTGTACAAACTTACATCGAGACATAATACATAAGGCTAAAATATAAATTAAAAATAAAAGATTATGTTGGATAAATAATCAAAAAAAGAATCATAGTAATAAAAAAAGCGAATCCGCACATATGAACAATGCCCAAATCTAACATCATTAGAGGAAGCTATGATTTTTCGTTGTTTTAGCGTAGCAGTGTGCGAAACCGAAATTGAAATCCGTCGGTTGTTAGGAAAAACAATCTAAGCAACAGTTGAAGATCTTGTCAATATCTATCTATCGATATAAATACAGTCGATAACGAATATCGTATGAGAGTTATGATTTTTGTATGGACTTTAGCAATCTAAACCTATTAAAAATATAACTTTAAAAATAAAATGAGACTTATCCAACATAGTCTAAATACAAGTTGTAGATCTCGTCAATAGCTAGGCATGGACATAAAGAACGTCAAAATTGACCGCGTATGAAGTAGATCTGAATTTTTGAAAATTTGTTAAAATTGTACGCGCATGGATACGTATGGAGAAGGTGAGCGACGCACACCGATAACTCATCAGAATTTGCCATGTGTCGACGTCTGATAGGAGCCACACCAACGCCATTTACAAAAGGTGTGGCATGCCTATGAAGGTTGTGCTCAGAGCCCTCTTACAACTCCTATAAATAGTTTCGTAGGCATCCATTTTCGTCATCCCTTTAGTCCAGAATCCTATGGAATCTGTTCCACTCCCTATCTCATTCACTCCCTAGTTCCGGACTACTTTAGCGAGGCCCAACAATGTTAAAGTGCTGGAGAATTAGAAGCTTTTAAGTAAGAGTTATTCACACATAATTATAGGTTCTTGTTAGAAAGCTATGTAAGTTAAGGTGCACTTATCCTAATTTAAGTATAACTTTTATTTATAGTCATAGTCGCTATTTTGATCCTATAAATAATACTTATTAGTGATTCCAAATCAAAATGGAGGTGATGTGTAGGATTATTTAGCGAGGTGTTCAAAGTGGGATTTCCAAACAATATACTATGTATACCAAAAGGGCCCTACCTCTGATATGATCCTACCTGGTTATTCATTATTTAATAGGTCTTGATGTATATATTGGGATTATTGAGGAATCTAGACTAATATTATTATAGTAAGAAGGAATGTGAAACTAGACTAAGACATATTGTTATATACTTCTAGGTCTTTTTAAAAGGTTGTAAGGTGAAGTACTCTCCTAACCTCGAATCACCCGCTTTTGTTAGGTGAGTGCATAGTTACTTTCAAGAGCATAATTAATAAAAGTATTTATTAAATGTTAATTGTATTAATTATACTTTGGGTTACTTGTATAACTATAAAATTACTGCTTGATTGGGACACATTTAGCAATAGTGTTGTTTAGTTATGAAATTAAGGCTTAAGAAGGATTGTCTAACTCAAATTAAGTTGAATGTTGTCTAGGTCTCATACTAGGGTAGAATGTGAGATCAAAACAAAGTGTAGTAATACCTCCTCTTTTTAGATAACTAGAAAAGGAGGGTCCAGATCAGATAACTGGCAATTATGTATGGGTTATCTACCGGAGTAGATGACATCACCTAACCATTCTAGGCATTCTACTGAATTACGTTGCTAGTGTGGACTTATGACCCACAGACGTAGATAAAATAGGATACCATATTTATCAAATACTCTGAACATTGGTTACCTTTAATATTAATTACACTGGCCAGGGAATCCCTTACTTGTGTAGTCAAATAGTTGCTCAAACGATTCATCAGGTAAGGTGATTCTTCCATATGATCATCGAACAAGGACTTGTGAGAATCGATTAGGCAGGGTAAAATGTCTTACATAAAATTTTATATACCTATATGATATGATAATGGTTGTTTTTGCATTAATGTTATTATGAAATATTATCATTAAAATATTATGGGCATGAAAACACTATGCATCTCACCATGTTATCCCAATCCTTACCCACTAAATTTGCATGCATCACAGGTAGCGAAACTAAGGTTGCTAGACACTAATAGGATGTCAAGTGAAATAAGAGATGTGCATGTAATAGTATTTCAGGACCTTTTAGTATTTACATTGTAATCTATGTTTGGATATTAATGGTGACATCCATGGTATTCTAATCATATGAAATAACTTATGTTATCTCAAACTATGTTAAATAAACTGGGATTTTCCGCAACAAAGCAAATTAAAGAAAAAAAAGTTTTAATTGGTTATGAAAATATGGGGATTTCACAGAATTCGGACTAACACTTGGTACTAAATCAATGCTAAACTCAACTTGTCTTTCTGGTGGCAAGCTGGGAAACTCATTTAGGAAAACTTTTATTAAATCTTTGACTAAATTTACATCTTCTCATTTCTTATTTTCTTTTTTTAAATCAAGAACATATGCCAAACAAAATTAACGAACCTTGCTTATACACTTCTAGGTTTCTACTATTGTGATAATAATTTACATTATAGAATTCTTTTCCACGTAAATCACTAACTTGTTTCCTCCCAAAGTTCTCAAGGACACTATCTTACTATCACAAGAAATCTTCTCATGATATTTTGATAGCTAGTCTATCTGAAGCACTACATCAAAGCATCTCACTCCTATGCACCATAGCCTAGCTTCAAACTTTTCTCTCTCTATTTCTATAAAACAAATCAGGTAACCTTAGCATATCGTAATATGCTCTCCGGTTGCTACCTCCACTATATAGATCTCACTAACGGATACTAAAGCCATATCAAAATTATTTCATAAATTATGAGACATAAAAGAAATATCTACACTTGAGTCATATAAAGCACTTTCAATTAGGGAGTTTACAATTTTTGTACATAACATCACATCATGTGCCTTCTTTTGTTGTTAACTGGAATGTACGAGCTCTAACCTTCCTCGTCTTTGACTTCTTGCTAGCACTTGGGGCTACCATTTCACTCACCATAATAAAACTTTCCAGACTTCCTGTAACTCGGAATATCCCCCTTCCTTTAGCTACCACTACAAAATCAAGTCTTCTTCTTAGAACCACCTTTCTCCAATTGAGATCTTTTCTCTTACACTCTTTGCTTTTCTTTAGTCTTCCTAACAATCATATCCTTTATGTTTTGGGTAGCCACTGTCTCATCATCCAAAGTATCAACCTTCCTCCTTATAACTTCATAATCTACATGTAAAGTATTCACAAAGTGACTAATATATACGACCCCTTTCAGTCGGAAGGATATGCCCAATAAACAACATCCAATCTGAATACTCCTTTGCATATTGATCCATGGTTAACTCTACCTTTTTCAAGTCAAACAACTTATCCACCATCTTCTCAATGTCACTAGGAGCAAAATACTTTGGGTTGATACGCTTGAAAAAATCTTCCCAAGACATATTAGCCATCGCGCCATCTCCCAAGGTCCGACATATTCTTTCCCAACAAATAAGGTCTTGGCCCTTAAGCACTTGAGAAGCATAAATCAATTTATAGTCATCACGAAAACCACTAGCTCTGGGAATTCAATTAGATTCAATGATTCACTTCATAGTTACCTTTGGATCACAACGTTCTTCATACACGCTTGGTTTGCATGCCATAAACGACTTAAAAGAATATCTCTTCTTTGAACCTCCTTGAGGGCGAGCACAATGAGATGACTATTGATTTCAGGAAACATCCATAACATATTGTACACCAATAATAGTTTGTGCACCCCCGACAAATGGTACACCCATAGTAAACGATGATACCTCAAGGTGTCTGGAGGTGATTGAACATGTGTTCTGAACCTTTCATTAACCAGTCAGTTCATTTCATGAAGGTTCTCCTATTCCATCTCTTCAAGAATCCTCCTCATGGATTCCATAGTAACTTGTTGGGGATTCCTTCTCGATATGGGTGCCCCTTCACCCTTTTGCAGGTCAACACCAATTATAGTTTGAATTATTACTAAAAACATAAACCACTAACATGAATAATCTAATTAATGCAAACCTAACAAACAAAGTTCATATTAATATTCAAGGTAATGATCCAAAGCACTCTTGGTCTTTCTTTATCCCACATAGTTTAAGCCTAGGTAAGGACAGTCCAACCTAATTCGATCAAACTATTACTCTAATACTAATTTTAGGGAACCATATTTTTCACAAAATACTAACATTAAATTTCTAGAAAACATCAGAGAACTTCACAATCTTTACAAAAACCAAAGTTTCAAAAATCTTCAAAAACATTTCCATAAATCATATATGGGTGTACTAACCATCTCCTTACCACGATTAAAATAACAGGAAACAAAGCATGAAACAAAAATCCAGTCGATGTTCTTAATGCTTCTAAGTCAACTCTGTCTAGGGCTTGCTACCAGAACCTTTATACATGGAAAAAACATATATCATACAAAAAGTCTAGTGAGTTATAAAATAACGTAAAATACATAAAGCAGTTTCTTATTTCACACATTTCCTATATCTAACTAGTCACATAAGTGATCATGTATCATTACTCTTACTGGTAAAAGATTAACCGGTCTCTATTATCTCTATAGTTTTCATGCTAAACTCTAGACATTCTTCATTCTCATGATCCCTATATTTTAGTCAATCTATACATGTACATATCATAAAAAACATAACAGTCACATAACACATTTTATCCAATGTGTCACTATGTAAAAAATATATCTCACAATATCATATGCTAAAGGATGTTATAACTCACCTCTTTGAAGAGAATAACAACCAATTTCCAAGCTTCTTCAATCCTTCTTTTAAAGAACTCTGACTCTTCCTTGTCCACGACCTGTATCATTACCACATTAAGCTCCTTGAAACATATCTTAAACATTAAGAGCTTAATAGAGATTTAAGCCAAAAATCTCATACTTTAGGTAAACTGCATATTAACAATCGTTTGCGAATAAAGTTTCTATACTACTCAAATGTGACACTTAATCTACAAAGTTATTAACACATATCAACCATTTCATGATTTTCCAAAACTAGTGTTCGAAACCCTAACAATCAACACATGGATTCAACTAAGGAATCCTTACAAAAAGAATGTATTAAGCTTTTAAACAACTGAGTAAACATCACTATCAAGATAGCTTAGAGTAATCGGTCATATTTAACTCAAACCCCAAAAAAACCATTAAATCTTCAAAATCTTGAATGACGTTGAAATAGGTACCTTAGGAGTTTTAGTCACCAATATTTGTCACTTCCCACTTCCACCATACACTGCCACTAGAACTACTTTCTTCTTCCAAATTATTGGATGTTTTATCTCAAAGGTATTAGGGGTGTTTTGATTCGAGAATGATCCTTAACTGATGTTTATCCTACTCTCGAAACTATGACGTGACATTTTTTTACCGCACCTTGGTGCCTTAAGTTACTTGCGGTCTCTCCAATTCACATTGCAATGACAATTCCAAAATGTCATCCTACTTTCGCTACCACGATACATTAACCATATATGATGTTGTAGTTCAATGTACATTTACCTTGACATACGTCAAAAACCATACCTCCTGGGTATGAACACATTTGTGTTTAGAAATTATCTCCTGAATTTGTATCCACACATTGTAGCCATATTTAACCAATTTTGTGTATCTAAACTCAGAATTTTTCCTTACCAGATGCAATTTGAGAGATTCATTCTTGAGTTTGGTGCATCTAAATTTGATGATGGGATCATGTTGGTATCTTTGACCTAAAACATTCCTAAATTTCCTCCGATTGGTTCGATCATCCAACTTAGAGACTCTGTTTTGTTTGGCCAAATCAATATTGAAATGTTGAGTATTGGTCTTTTGAGCATCAGCTAATGCAAGGTTCTGAGCAAGCTTGATAGATTGACATTCATCATTTCTTGTTTGAACCTAAGCATTGTGTTCCAACATAATTTCTCTAACCTCCTTAATAATCATTTTCCATTCTTCATCTAAATCTTAAGATTAACTATTAATTTGCATTTAATGGGAGGAGGGGCTGAAGAACCACCAGCGGTAGAGGAACTTCCAAGTTCAACATCATTTGCTCCCCCTGAGAAGGAAGCCTTACTTTTTCTAGGATTGAGCTGGTCATCATTAGACTCAATGTCACTATTGGTTCCTTGAGGAATCTCCCCCTTGGAAGATGCATTAGGATAAACAATACTAAGAGGAATAGCATGCATACAATTTCTTTTTTGAAGTCAATTTCGAGAAATCCTTCATAATCACCACAATCAATCTCAGACAGATCATTATCAGCTTCTAGAATGGGCTGATCACTAAACAATTTCTTTTTTATTATCATCCCTTCCCGATTTATAAATTTCAGGTTGAGACGGATTTGTTGCAGTCATCATTAGTTCTTGATTATTCTCCCCTTTTTGGCATTATCAAGTTAGTGATAGGAGTCATGAGGTGGAGAGGGAGTGCAAGGAGGCAGATTTGATGTATGATGTGGATTTAATGATGGAAGAGGAGGAGGTGGATTAACTCCTGGATAGCTAGGAGGAGTATCTACAATCATCACATCATCATCATCAACCAAATTCATTGAGCATTTGATGTCAGCCACATATTTCTCTACTTTGGAAAGTCTTTCTCCACGAAATTGAGTCATCTGAACCAATAGGGAGAGCTAGGAGAGCATAACAGTTTCACTGTTTTAACTAGACCCCCCCCCCCTTTAAAATTAGAAGTTTATGTAGAGGAGTTGGCATTTAAGGAACAATTGTAGCTTGCGGAGAAGTATACATTGATCTTCGAAAATCCACATCTTAAATCAGTGGATTAGTAGTTTCCACTTGAGTAGGGGTTGATCCACGTTTTACAAATTCTTCTGCAGACGAAGTTGTGGAACAAGTTGAGGTTGAGGAGAAGTAAATATGTTGGTTCAATCTTGGAGGGGAATTAATCATTCCTTTAGTAGAGGCTTCTCATATATTAGCATCTAATTCATCTTTTTCATCATCATCATTTTCTTCTTCATCGATGTCTACTTCTTCATCAACACCTTCTTCATTATTGCCCTCCTCGTCGTCTTCTTTAGAGTTAGAGGTTTCAAGAAAATAAGGATTTTCAACCCACCTTTCCATACTTTTGGTAAGATTCATATCGCTATCAGATGGACCAACATTGATGATCTTCGATGCGAGAGTTGGAATTGGAATGATGACTCAATGATTGACATTATAACTCTCTTCATTACGATCCAGAATAAGTCCAAGCCAATGAGGATAAGGACCATATGGTGACTTCTTGTTCCCAATGACACAGTCAACTAATTGATTGAAGAAGAGTTGAGAAAAATCCAATCTTTTGTTGCAAGTCATAGCGTACAAGATTCTTTGCTTAAAAAGGTTTAACTTATCTAAGCTTCCAATCTTATATCAAACACATTTACCAATCATCCCAGATAGGTACTTCCACCCTACACAACAACATTAATAGAAAGTGTATTTGGTTAGGTCACGAGTGGTGCCCTGAAGACAAAATTTATACCCTAATCTTGAACGAATAGACTTGCATTTTTCTTCAGAAGGGGTTTCATAATAGTTTTCTGATTGGGGAAGACGAAGAGCAATTCGAAAAGATTAAGCATTGATAGTAGTCCTAGATTAATGATCTACAATGGTTCCAGTTATGGTTTGAGCATTAGAGTCAACAGAGAAAGAATAGTAGAATTCACATACTTGCTTAGGATAGAATGGCTCTGGGAAGTTGTAAAAGCCATATTAAAGAGGGCGACTTTTGACATAGTTGATGAAGTCTTCAATCCCAAATTTGGGATAACATCAGAGAATACCACATGGTTTTCTTGAATGACAATGGGAGAATTAGGAGTATGGGGCCTTTGATTACATTGGTATTAAGAGCAAACATATAAAGAACCTTTGAAATGATGAGAAATTGAGAAAGATGATGGTTGAGAGAGCCTTATCGAGAGAGAGAAAATCAACTGCTTGAATGAATTGTGAAAGTTACCTAGGAGAGAGAGTTTTCCAAATTTATCCATAAATTTTCTTCTCATCTAAGTAATCATGATTGGACAAAGTGGCATCGTAAAAATCTTGTATTCCAAGATATTGTTACATCTTTTAATTGTCATCCAAAAGTAACTGTTGAGATAAAGTAATAGTGTATCAGTGAGACATAGCATTAGTGGCAAAAATTATCATCGGAAGAAATCAGTGTAATAAGATTATCCTATCAACGTGTTAGAGTTGCAGCTGGTAATCAAGTGAGATTGTGATGTCTCCTGATAGTATGGGTTTGAACTATCATTCATTGACATACTATTATGATATCTCATTAGCATATGGTTTTATACGTTGAATCATTAACTTCTTTTATTACAAGAATGAAGGACATGAATGGAATGATGTGTGTAATACATTCTGATATGAAATGTACCCATCAGAAAAGAGTTTCAAAGTTTTATCAATGTATGGAAAATACAATGAATCATTAACTTATTTAATAGAAGATATGTTGGGAAAGAATGGGTAGGTGCGTGTAATATATCACAGAGAATAATATACCTATCGGCATAGATTTTTCGAATTCTTGTTACCATCTAGCTTCATATGCTGAATCTCAAATTTATAAAGAAGAATGTAAGGTGAGAATGGATCGGTGTGTGATAAGATATGGTACATAGTCTAACCATTGGCATAGATGTTTCAATCTCTCATCAGCATATGATATGTTACGTTGAATCATCAGTGATTGGTGTATGTGATACTCTACGTTACATAAACTGACCATCAACACAGAGTTTCAAACTTTTATCAGTGTGTGGTATATCACAATGATTCATTAATTTTTATCAAGAAGAAACTGAGGAGAAAATGGAGTGTTTCAATCATGCTGAGGTGGAATCAACATGAATCATAAACAATGTAAACTTATCAACGAGAAGTGGTTTATCTTCTGTGTCATAAAGTTAAGTTTCAATCTAGAAAATTTTATTTAACCATAAATTCATTTAATATGGTACAAGATAATAAAAATGAAAAATACAATGGTAATGCAAGAATAAATCAAAAGAGTTAGTCAAACAAAGAAGTTTTCTAAACACAAAAATTATGCAGCTTTTTCAGATATGAGATAAAGACCCGGTTCAACAAATCTTTTCAATTAAATGCTCATAAATGAGTTTCCTTTCTCTAACATATCTTCCCCTCAACATTTTCTATAAAAGAATAACTAGGCATGATCAAATATCAACATAAAAAATAGTCCACAACAAACCAAGAGAGAAGATGCCTATTGCAGATTGATACCAAACTTCATGTTCACCAAGAACAGGAGAAGAACAAGAACAAGTGTTTGTAACCAACAAGTTAATGGGATTTAATATTTATAAACTTCGAGTTACGAGAGTCACCAAGACAAGACTCGAAGGTTTCATACATTGTGATATGTGATAAAAGTGATGACGAGCATTGTCTTGTTGAATAAATCTTTGAATATCTGATGGGAATTGGTGTAGTAGTGACATCATTTATGGAAATTAGACATGTTGCATTACCTAGAATCACGTCACCCAATTATAACCGAGATAGGCTATCAGAGAAGGAAGAGTTATATGCCCAGAGAAACAAGTACAAACACAATTATCTCCTATTTGGACTCATCAACAGGATGCTTCATTTCATTCATCATGATCGTCAGCGTCAAGGAGAAAGCAATTGGTGCTAAAGAATAGATGCAGATCCAGCTCCAACTGTTCCTACTCTGAAGATCCTGCACCGAAGGAATGACACGTTGATCCTTTCTAAAGGAACAAATAAGTTAAGATCATTATCAAGATGTAGACATGAGATCCAGAGATAAAGAGAGTAAAAGAGAGGAACACACATAGACTATGTTAGTAGCACAATATACAATGTATACTCCATTGGTAACCATAAGTAATGTAAAGTCTTAAAGTAAAATAAAATTCAGCAACTTATGTTCTAAAATTTGAGATAGAAAAAAGTATTATAAAGTCTTAAAGAAGCGTTGTCCAACATAGATAAAATTAAAGCATGTAAATGTTATTGTCCCTGAGTGTAGTGAGCACAATTTTGTTCTTTATGTTGATGACTTTCCTTCATTGCAATCAAAGAGAACTTTGTAACCAATGTCACAAATTTGATTGATGGAGATGAGATCGTTTTGAAGGCCCTTGACATAAAACACATTTTTTAGCTTGAAAGATTTGCACTTAATTATTCCAAAACCCTTGACTACTCCTTCACCACTATCCCTAAAAACTACGATAGGATAATCTTTCTCCACAAACTCTGTTTAGAGGAACTTGAGACCAGTCATCTGTCTAGATCATCCATTGTTAAGGAACCAAGTATGTTCCAAATCCTGACTAGTGGAAGAGACATTTCAACTTTTCATCTTTGACTCTTTGATAGCTTGAAGATTATCAGCGTCAAACATGTTGGCACCACCATCAGGGGCATCGCTAATAAGAGCCCTAAGAACCTTAAAGTTTAACCCTTTGTCTTTATATGTCCCCTCTTCTTCCACCCATTCCTCGGATTCTTCCAGCTTTGCAACGAAGGCTTTTGGTTGAGAGATGTTCTCATTCTTCATGTGGGCTAGCAGCTTCTTCTACAAGACTTCATAATTCTCCAGGCTTTGAGCTTCTTTCTTCTCTTTATAGTCCCTGGCAAAATGGTCAGGGCTTCCACAGCTAAAACAATACCTTAGTTTCTTTTCTTTGAGTTAAGTCTTCTCGTTGAACTACCTCCCTTGGACTTAGCTCTTCCGACTTCATTTGATCCACTTTCTTTATAACGTTTAGCAATGAGTGCATCACTAGCAAGTAATTCATCAGTAATTTCTGTTGGATTAGTGTCTAAGTCCATAACTATTTTGGTATGCCCTTGACCCGATGGTGCATGGTCCTTTTGGGTTGCCTTCACCAAAGCAACTTGATTGGAGAAATAAATAAAGAGAGAGAGGTTATTATGATTTATTAATATGTTATAAGAATAATATATTAAAGGAGAAATCATATTTGCTTAATTAAATAGGTCAATAATTAATTAGGAATTAATTTTGTGATCAACTGTAATTAATTAAACTAGAGGGGCTGAATTGTAATTATGTGATAGTTACAAAATATGGTAATGGTTATCCTAAATATGGGTTGAACGAATTCAAGGAGATAAGGATCCTTGAA